CTGAATTTGACTGAACTAGAAAAAATTTTACTAAATATAAATACTGAATCGTGTTAACGAAAAATTAATTGAAATAAATTATATATAAACTATTTGAAAAAATAAAAAGATTGATAAATTTAGCAAAATTAATTAATTGTATTTTATTCTAATTAGATATAATTACATTTAATTTTATAACTTGAAACAAGTTATTACAATACACATAATTTTTTATGTAAGTTGCAATGATTATATCATAACTCTTTAATTTTGATATTATAATTATAATTTAATGTTATTATAATTTCTTTTTCACAAAGAATTTTAAACGTACGATTTAATGTTATTTATTTTCCAATGAAAAGATTATATAGAAATTCGATGAAAAATCCCACATTTTGTATGCAACATTACAGATTCGTCCAAAGACAAAAAATTTGAGCAATTGACAATAAAAGATATTAGAAAAAGATTGGCGCAATAGGGGACACTTGGGGCCTGAATAAAAAGCAAAATGCTAGTAATTATCTCATAATATGATGTGCCTCCTCTCGTTGCTTAGAGGTGGTACTCGTGGAGCCTTAAATTAGAGATCTGTAGATGCTATTGTATTACGAGACTGCTGGAACTGTGCGCGAAGATTAATATTTCTAAATTTCCATCCTCTTAAAAAAGACTTGTACTTAATATTGGATCGATACTCACATGCAATTATCTAAGTTAAGACTCTGAAAGCAATAAGAAACACGGCGTGACGTATATACCATCGTTGTCGTCATCACAGATACTCAGTTGTGCGCTCTCTTTCCCTCCCTTTCTATTTATCTTGACAGTGAGTGAAAGACATGTGAGAACTTAAGAAAGTAATACTTAGATAATGTTTAAATACGCCGTATACATTAAAAGTAATAAATTTTATGGCTCCACTGCTGCTGCGTAGTCATTTTAGAATGAAAGGAGCTTTGCTTTATATCATTAACAAAAACTTAATAGAGTTTATACCTACCTCCTGTATACATTTATATGTCACTTTTAATATACATAAAGGACTTACACCAACCTTATGGAAATTGGCTTTCTGTCGATTTGATTAAATTTTGGATACGTTGTAGTTATCATTTTGAGCAAATGTCTCCATGGGATCAATTTCTTCTTATAGCTAGTCTCTTTGCGTTCAAGAACTGCAAGGTTCAGATTCAAGCTATTCCTTAAAAATTGTGTTTCCATATTATTGATATTATAAATATCATAAATGTATATATATATATATATAATATATATGTATAGGGTAGTATCGGGTATGACACGCGCACACACATATATACATATGTACATGTATACACATAACATATATACCCAACAGCAGCATATAAAAATATATTTAAAACGTACGTGTTGGACGTTTTGTTGGACATATTATAAACGTCTAGATTAGATCCATGGATATTTAAAAAATTTTAAAGATATCCACTGTTACCATTTTGGATTTCTTAAAAACATCCATTTTAGGGTCGCAATGGATTAAAACTGAACTAAATTAATATATTAAACAAATTTTAGACTACAATCGAAACGAAATGATTCATATATGAGTATTATTATTGATTAATATCTTATTCTAGAATACATAAAATTATGATAAAAAAAAAACGTTTTTCCCTGAATTCGAGAACTAATTTCATAGTGCTTTGAAACTCATCCGGTTGCATACCGTCATCCTTGACTTCTGAAATCGTATGGAAACCGCTGCACTTCGATGATCCACGAATACCTATATAATGGATTTATAGTTATAATACATCTGTTCAATATGGACCTGATAGAAATTTGTGCAATTCAACTGAATATCCAGTCAGTTACTGTCTAATATTTAATCTTAATCTTTATTATAACGATTATTTTCAGGTAGGAAATCATACGCTGTATTTTCACAGTATCAGTTATCCATGTATATCTTGTCTTCGATTAGAGATCTCTACAGTCTCTCTCCTGTCGATAATAATACGCCGTATGGTATGAGTTATGTACCATAATGTATCTAAACAGTATGCAGTATAGACTTTTATGTTGTTGAAAATTTTCAACACAACAGATGTCCTAGGGACGTCCATGGAAATTGGAATGGGACGTTCAGAAGACGTCCGTACATACTAACAGAAGTGAAACTCCTCGTGTGATCTTAAAAAAATTTTCACTTGTCAAAGTCAGCGAAAACAACACATCGCGAGCAGATTTAGAAAATTTTTTACATGAGATGAACATTTTAAAAAGTGTCAAATGTAAACATATTTTGTACGTTGCATAAAGTACGTTTTTAAAACATTCGTACTAAGTCCATGGACGTTCGGATTAAACAAAAACCAGATTAAACAAAATTCAATGGA